TCGCACTCGCTAAACTGTCGTCCTCTGAAAGTCATTAAGATGAAAATGAGGCTTGAAACGGCGTTTACTGTGTCGGTAAACAATATCTGCAGGCCTGTTAGGAGCCGCCGCGGCGGAGAAGCGCTCCGTCAGCCGAATCAGCGCCGCCGCGGCGGAGCAAGGCCTCTGCTGAATCACGGCTCGTTCTCTGTATCGGTTGTTTTTCTGTGTTTATTTGTGCTGATTTATGACGTTTGTGTTGAACTTGGACTCTGTCTCTGGTCCGGGTCTGGGACTCGGTCCTTGCGGCGAGTCCGCCGCGCGTCCTGACTGCTGCGTTTCTTCCTTCAGGTCGTGTTTACGGGGTACTCGGTAAGCGAGAAGGTCGAGTCCTCCAGGAAGAGATGAAGGAAGGGACGGACATGTTCATCATCAAGGCCGTGCTGCCCGTGGCGGAGAGCTTTGGCTTTGCAGACGAGATCCGCAAGAGGACGAGCGGATTGGCCAGTCCGCAGCTGGTGTTCAGTCACTGGGAGGTGAGGAGACTTTGCCTGCCAGTGGGCGGGGCCTCTTTGACACAGGTGGTGTAGCTGCAGACCTCTTGGAGCATTTTTAATGTGATTCTCTGACCTCTAACGTGGACGTGGAGCGGCTCAATGAGGACGCATGCGGAGGCGTGTCCACGCGTGATTGGATCGTCCGAGCCACAGGTCGACGGCAGGTGTGAACGAGGCCGCGCGCGCGGATCAGTCTGCCTGAGCTCGTTATGTGGAGCTGCGGGTCAGCGAGGCCATCTGGTTAACGAGACGGCCGCCTCGGGGGAGCCGGAGTCAAAGCCGCGATAGACGGCGTGCACTTGGCCGGCTCGAGCCGCCGCACACACGCGTATCAGCGTCCTGCGAGCCATATGCTCCGTGTCGGGCGGGGTAACGGGTCAAGTTGTCTGTGAAGAGGAAGAGACGAGCCGGCGGTGCTGCAGAGCGCCGAGCAGGTGCAGGAAACTCACAGAAGATGTTTTATAATAACGA